GTGTGTGTGTGTGTGTGTGTGTGTGTGTGTGTGTGTGTGTGTGTGTGTGTACGTATCTAACAAATGGCCTGTTGGTATACCCTGACTGTTGATTTTTTATGACTCCAAAAATGTAAAAAAAAAAATAAAATAAATAAAAAAAAATTCCGTCAGTATTGCAATTAATCGCACCAGTTACTCATGATGAAACTAAGTTTTTCACACTAAAAACAAATAGCAATGGTTCCACTCGACATTTTTGTTTTTTTGTCACTTCGTTGTACTCAGCCTGCTGTAACAGGCAAGCATATAAAATTACACAAGGTAATGAACAGTATTTTCCTATACCATTATTAAATAATTAAGGGTGGTACATCATCTCGATCTTCAAAACGAATACCGTCTTTACCAATCTGTAAAATGAGGATTGACTCTCCAGTGTACTCAAGCCAGTGATCGGAGATATGGGTTCGAATTCCGCTCATTCTTATTCTTCATATTAGTTCTGTTAAACTTATGAAATAACTAGTAAAGAAATGACCGATATATCATAAGAAAATTTCCATCGTTTACCAAGAGATACGTGTAATTAGTTCAATCTTTTTCGGTTCACTAATATTTCTTCTGGATGGTACTTGATGTACTCTTTTTGTTTGTCTTTTGTTTTTTATTGTCAGCCAATCTAACTAGGTGTCGTGCAGAAGGTATTTATACACTGATACATTCAGTAGCTAATGAGTTTTTAGTAATTATCCCAAATAAAGCGATTTTAATTTATTATTGCCTTTCCTTATCTTCGGAAAGTCAAACCGTGATTAACTAAACTACGTAAACCCAATGAACAGCGCTAAACTAGGAAACTATGCTATAGTTAATGCCGTGCTGTTATTAAGTTTGCCTACTTCGTGTAACTGACCAGCTTATTAGTTTCACGTAACCGAGAGGAACTGATTGTAAAGATATTGAACACTATTTTGTATATTTTTACGTATCTGTAAACCACCATTTTGGATTAAAAGGTGGTTTGTTCACACATGCTGGTCATTGACCTTTTCATTATAATAGGCCTTTAAAACAGTGATCCTCGAATACGTATCAAAAAATTAACAATTAAAACATAATAAATAACACTTAAATGTGGCAGGGAAAACTTGTCTTGTATACTAGGATGTTTTTAACAATGATCCATTTTATTGTGAACTCAGCACATGATGGAAAATCGGATACAACACTAATATAATCGTTACATTTTTATACTTGCAATAGTGCGTCTAGTTATAAACAAAGGTCTTTTTGCTTTTTTTAAAGACTGGATATTTTAACGTCCCAACAGTTTACTATCACTACTACGCATAAGTTAAATTGGGGCGGAACTGTCCGGAATGGAGTTCTGCCTCTTGAGGACTAAAGCCAATTAGCGTTCCTGGTATTCTGATTTAAATATACAAAAAAGGCACCATTTAACATTTGACTATATTCCCAGGGAATACACTTCTTCTGTTGTGCTACGCTGTTTATACGAAAAGAATTCCACCTTATTCAAAATCTCAGTTTAACCATTGAGTTGTGATATACTAAGTTAGCAAGGTCGTATATCAAATATTATATTTTTGTCTTAATGATTTATTATGTGTCTTTATTAGTAGTATTAATAGTTTTCGGATAACTGTACACTGGGAATGAAATTTTGTCAGGCTTTGTTTTTGTTTTGGTTGATATTAATGGTTGATGTTGGTTGATGTTTAACTTTTATAGAAATACTGAAGTGATTGTTTGAAAGGCCAATTGAAACAAATAAGAAAATATGTTCAGTTTCCTGTGTGAGGTAAGAATGTTGTTTGGAATTGTAAGACCATAATATATCCAGGAATGTTCCTATAAATCGTGAAAAACTTCATTTTATAAGAATTTCAAAAATGCATTCAGTACCAAACTTTGACTTCATTCATTTAGATCGGTGGGGTTGCAGTCTTTGCTGTAGGAGTATGGACTTTAGCAGACAAGTCGTTCATGGAGAGACTACTTGAAAACAACCTGTACTTCAGCTGCGGCGCCATTTTTATTGGCACTGGTGTGTTAGCAAGCATCATCACATTTCTAGGATGTATGGGAGCACTAAAAGAAATCAAATGTATGCTTTTAACGGTAAGCATCCGTTCTATACACATGCTTAATATTGAGGATACAAAAGTCATAAGTATTTCGCACTCTTAATGCTGTGCCACAATAAGTTTTATTAACACATAAATGCAATTTTGTTATTAGGATAATATTTTCATAGGTTTTACTCGTTGGTTTTTGTTATATTATAATTCAATATGTAATTATGTATACATTTTGAACACAAATCGTTTGTCTTGTTTAGGAATGAAGTTAAAACTTGGATGTATCAAATTATGTTTAACTTGTATAATTTTTTTACTCATCCAAAACAGCGAATTACAATAAATGGTTATTAAAAATAATAAGTAAAAAATATTTGAAGGTGTGACTATTAAGCAAAACATTGTGATTGAGGTTAAGAAGAATGAATGGAATTGTCCTGTAAAAAATCAATAGAGCCTTGTCTTCTGGATGCCTGGTTCAATGATATTAATAGTATAGTCATTCGTTTATACCGTTACATTCGGTTAAGTTTCCATGATGAAATACTAAGTGAATAATGTTATGTAACACATTCCAAAATCGTCGACTGTTACCTGGTTTCAAAGATCTTTCTTCTACATTTAATTAAAATAAGAATATAAACGTTTCAAAAATGTATAAGTGTATAAATTTAAAGATGGGGTATCGTCGAAGAAATAAATATTCCGAAATCCATTAGATTTGGTGACGAAATAATTTCGTCAACAACAAAG